ATATAGTTTTAGCACTAAATAGTGATATTTTTGAACCTAAATCTGTACTGCAGTTTTTCAAGCTGTGAACATCTAGCAGAAAAGATTTGGGATTTGAGACATTAAACCAAGATCCCATCTGCCTGTTCAGGTGGATATTAAAAATTCCATGCCACTTTTGGAAAAGAGAAGGAAGTTTCTCTCGGTGTCCTGGCCAATGATCTTCCAAAATATAAAAAAAATGTTAATTCAAAGAGGGTGTTGTGTTTACCAAAAAACATACATTCGTAACACTTCACAGTGAATGCTGTAAAGTGCTTTGAGGCGTCCTCCAGACATGAAAGGCACTGTATCAAATGCAAGAATTATTATATAAATGTTTCAACCAACCCCTAGCTGCAGCAACATGTTCTTTTTTAAATAACCTTCTAAAGCGTGTGGATTACCGATATAATAAATAGCATGAAATTCTCATTAGCGTCAGGAAATAGCAAAAAGGACTCTGGCAGGGATAGCCATTCTGCCATGGATTACAAACCGTTTGCTAATGTAATTATGCCGAGATAAAGTTAATTATCTTTCTCAACTAATTCGCTTTAATGAGTTCAGATTAATGAGCATTGTCCCCGTCTTGGCTGGAGTTATGAATAATTACATGGTTTAACGGTTATCTGCTGAACGTCGCGTTGCCTACAGAATACCCAGAGTCTACACTTTACATTATAATAATCATTTGATACAGCGCCTTATCACGTCATCGAGACATGTCAAACTGCTTCACAGAATACACTGCAAAGTGTATTGACTGTGTATTTTGTGGGCAAATCGCGGCAGGCAGCTATGCGCAGCAATGTCCCACAAACAGCCATGGATTGAGTGACCCATTTTATTTAGGGGATTGTTGGCCAGGAGAGAGGGACAAACTCCCTTCTCTTTTCAAGAAGTGCCATGGAATCTTTAACGTCCACCTGAAGCAGCAGAGGGGATTTCGGTTGAACATCTCATCCGACAATGCAACACCCTCCCCCAGCACTGCACCTAAATACAGAGAGTATTAGGCATAAGTTTGTGAGAGCCAAGGCTTGGGGACGGACCCCAGAATGTGAGTTGGCAGTGTTGCATGAGTTTACCAGCGCTGCACTGAAGTGTCATTTTAGACTATATGATTCCCAAGTCCCAACTACTTTTCGAACATTAAAGAGTTTTGTGAGGTCCTGCCAGCTTGAGAGGGGCTTTATCTATTGCAAGGATTATTATTATATTTAAGTTATTAGGATGCTTCTGTATGCTATGGACTAAAATCATACAGAAAGATAAAATGCAGTGAATCAAGGGATAGTTAAAAACTGTCAAGTCAAGGAGTTTTACAGCACAGAAGGAGGCCTTTTAGACCACCATTCCAGTATCTCTAAAATAGCTATTTGTTATGCACTCGCCTGTCATTTAGATTTTTCTTTTCAGAGTTTTCTCTTTTTTAAAAAAAGGTGGATTCTGTTTCAACTCTCGATTGTGGTGGAGTCCCGTAGCATAGTGGTCAGAGGACACTCGCCCCGCAAGCGAGGGGACCCAGGTTCAATTCCCAGATGGGAGTGAAACCTTGAACAACAACAACAACAACAAGATTCCATTTATAAAGCGCCTTTCACGTCAGGAGGACGTCCCAAGGCGCTGCACAGTTGGGTCATGACCCGAGCAGGGGGGAAATGGTCAGGGGAGGGGAGGGAGCGAGGAGGAGGGAAATGGTCAGGGTGAGGGGAGGGATGGGAGGGAGCGAGAAGGGGGAAGAGAGTTGAGAGGGGAGCTGAAGGCTTGGTCAAAGAGAAAGGTTTTGAGACCGGCCTTGAAGGAGGAAAGGGAGGAAGCGGCGAAGGCACTGGGGGATAGAGTTCCAGAGCCTCGGGGCTGAGAGGCTGAAGGCCCGACCACCAATGGTAGGGCGATTGGGGCGGGGGACGTGGAGCAGACCGGAGCCGGAGGAACGGAGTAAATTTCCTTACTCCACACGCCTCTGTTTACCTAGCAGTAAGTAAGAACCTGGTTATTAGTCGATTGGTGGATAGCTTTCCGGGGGTAATAATCCCTCATTCAATCTACGACTGTTTGTGGGACTCTACTGAGCACAGTTGACTGCCACAAATCGCCCACAAAATACAATCAATTCACTTTAAAAATATACTCTATGAAGCGCTTTGAGAAATCTATAAGATAAAGCACTATATCATGTGCAAAGATTATGATTATTATTATCCAATGGGCGATTCACTTCCCAATAACCCTATTTGTGTTAAATGACCTCTCCCCTTGTGTTGTTTGGTTTGAGATTTTTCGGTGATTATCTTAAACTGATGGAGTCTAGTTACTGACTTAAGCATCTTCCCTTTATTCACCTCATCAAAACCCACTCGTAATGTTGTGGATTATGAGGCTTCAGAATGGGTTAAATACTACACATGGAAGGGAGGATTAAACCCAGCCTTCAGCAGCTTTAATAACAGCACTGAGTGTCCACCCGCTGTGTTTTGTAGAGGTCCAGAAATGTACAAAGGCAGATCACGGCAACTCAAAGGTAAAAATTTGGTGCCCTTTGGTTTCTGAATGTTTGGGAGACTCACAAATGGATTCATCTCTAGTGTCTGTTTAGCTTTCAGGGTGTATGTCACGGATTTCAGCCATGTTTGTGCAATCCACTGTCTAGAACAAAACATATATATGTATATATATATATATCCTCAAAGCATATCAAAGCTCCTGGACTAATCAGCCAGGCAGCCTGCAGCTCTTTTGAAGTAAAGAAAGTGATACCTCAAAGAGTTTTTAAAGAGTTAGAGTTGACATGAGAAGGTATATATGCCCAGGGGCATAGACAGAAGTTTTCTAAAAGACCCCCCATGAAAAGAAAAAACCTAACCCCGCCATGGTCTCTGCCTCAGTTAGTAGTGCTCTCATCTCTGGGTCAGACAGTCATGGGTTCAAAGTCCATGTTGAATGTTTGGAATCGAGCCAGCCCTCTGTGGTGGTCTCGGTAGTCCGATCCCTGAGCCGGGTGGGTCTGCAGTATTCCAAGGCCAGTCTGGCTCATCGGCAGGACATGGAAGGGCAGACCAATCACTGGGGACATGGAATCATCCCACTCAGCTCCTGTTAACCATGAAAGCCATAGCCCTAATCGGTAAAGTGGTCCTAGCTGGACAAACAGCGGAAAAGCTTTCCAGTCGGCACGAAAAAGGTTCATGTCCAGACTTTGAGTTGGTCCATAGTGGCACATGGTGGAGGCACTGGCTTGTTGGACTTGCTGTTCATTTGGTTGAGACGTTAATCCCCAGGTCCCGTCTGCTTGTTCAGGTGGACATTAAGGATTTTGTGATGCTTCTCTAAGAGAGAATGTAATTCCTTCCCCCCCGTTTGTGGGACACTGCTGTGCGCAGCTGGCTGCCGCAGTTTTGCCCAGAATATACACAATCAATCCACTTTGCAGTATATCCTGTGAAACGCTTAGAGACGTCTCAATGATGTGCTAAGGCACTATATCAAATGCAAGGATTATTATTATTAAATGGGACTGAATAATAATAATAATCTTTGCATTTGATATTAAACATCTTTGAGACATCTCAAAGCGCGTCACAGAATATACTGTAAAATGTAGTGACTGTATATTTGGTGGGCGAAACGAGGTAGCCAATTGCGAATAGCTGTGTCCCACAAACAGTCGTGGATTGAGTGACCAAATTATTATTATTTAAAAAAATTTATTTGAAAGGATTATTACCCGGGGAAAAGCAATCCAGCAATCGACTAACAATTGGGTTGCTGGGTAAACAGTGGCGTGTGGAGTAAGGAACCTTGCCTAACGTGTTGCCCTGCCCAGGAATCGAACCCGGGTCCTCTCGCTTGCGAAGCGAGGGCTCTAACTACTATGCTATAGGACTCACCTTAAAGACTGAAAGGATTGTTGTTTAAAAGAACTAGCACAGACATGATGGCCTTCTTCTGTGTGGCTATTTCTATGGTTCTAATTCCCTGTGAAGTGTTTTGAGATGTTTGAATGTTATCAGCGTTATATCAAGCACAAACCAGAAATTGTTTAAGAGCCAGTCCTGGAGATTGTACAAGAGCTGGAGTCCTGATGGCTGTCATTTATTAAATAACATAATAGAGGTAATCTTCCATTCAGCATCTTATAACTAATTCCACAAGGTTTTCCCATTACTGAAGTCTGGCTAATAGTTTCTGAATAGGCTGTACTTAACTCCGCACCCCCATCAACCCAGTCCACTGGCTCCGTTGAAGAATGAATCGATTTCAAGATCCTCACTCTTACTTAGAAATCAATTCACTCCCTAGCATCTCCCTACCTCTCCGACCCACTTACACCCCACTCCTCTACTCATCCCCTTCGCTCTGCTTGCTCCGGTCTTCTGCACGTGCCTCTTCTTCTCCGCTACACTGTAGTGGCTGTGCTTTCAGCCGTTACGACCCGAATCTCTGAACTCTCTGGTCTCTAGTTCTGTTCCTGAGCTAGCCAGGTCCACAGTATTCCAGGGCACTGCTGATGACAGCACAGCCAGACTGGGACATTGACAGGATTTGGAAGGGAAGACCAGTCACTGAGGGAAGACAATTCTCCCACTCAGCTCCCGTTAACAGACAAAACCCGAGCAGGTTGAGTTTCTAGCTAGCTAGACAAGCAGTGGGAAAGACTAGCCAGGCTGAATGGCAAGCTATGCAGTTTTAGCTGGTTAGACTCCAGCAGTTTTCCCCCAACACACATTCTGGGGTCCCCAAGCCTTGGCTCTTGCCAATCTGCACCTAATATTTTTCAGAATTAGGTAAGCAGGTTGCATCTTTCCAGGGAGAATGGGCATTCCATTCCAAGAAATTTCTAAGGAATATCCGTGTAAAGGTGGGATGCATGGAATTCTCAGTTTGGTTTGGATATGCATAAACATGGTGATGGGTTTCCGCATGTACCAAGACACCCAGCTGACCCCTCAAAAAAGACAGAACAGCAGAAGAGGGAGGACGTTAATGTTATTTTATTGTAGGTCATTCAATCGAAAGAAAAATGATCAATATAAGCAGTAATATGTTATTTTTTCAGGGAAAGGGGCTTCTTTTATTTCTCTGTCGGTTTCTCTCTCAGTTTGTAATGATCTCCTGGTAGATTCCTTAAGCGTTCAGCAGCCTACAAGGCAAAGGTTGATAATAACGATATTAATAATAATCATTGCATCTTTCACTTTGGGAGGGCTTCTCTATGCACCTTTAAGGATTTATTATAAAGTGTAGTGACTGTGTATTTTGTAGGTGAATGAAGTTTTATATTCTATGTCCCCATTTATTTCCGTAGCTGTAGAATTGTCTCTCTCTTTCACACACACTCACAGTGACTACAAACAATAATCCTTGCATTTGATATAGCACTTTATTTTCTCAAAGCTGGAATTCCATCCAGGAGTCTCTCTGACTCACTCCCTCCCTCTCCTCTATCAATGTCCGTCTCAAGACTGCATTTTCTGTCATCTTTATCCCTTCCCATCCCCTTTGGCTCCCACCCCTATCACAGGTGCCCAGCCAGCAGTGTCAACTGCTTTGAGCTGTCCTACTGACGTGAAAGCCGTTATGTATACGTAAATTGTATTGTATTTTGCAAGGAACTACTTCCCGCAGAGGGCAGTGAGACTGTGGACCTCACTGCCTGAAGTGGTGCTTAAATCAGACAGCACAGATGCATTCTAGAAGCTAAACCTTCACACGAGGGAGAGGGGAATAGAAATGTAATAATAATAATCCTTGCATTTGATACAGTGCCTTATCACGTTGTTGACACGTCTCAAAGCACTTCACAGAATATATTGTAAAGTAGATTGACTGTATATTTTGTGAGCGAAATGTGGCAGCCAATTGTATCAGAGGGAGTAAGGAATGGATGAAGACTTGTGTGGAACCGGTTGGGTCGAGCAGCCTGTTTCCGTGCTGTACAGTCTTTCAAACCACTCTGGGACTCTACCCTGCGCGAGGGACGCAATATAAATACAAGTTGTTGTAGGAATTTACTGTCAAGTGTAGTGACTGTGGAGGTGCAGTTGGGCTCACCTGTTCAGGTGTGAGATCTCTCTGGGCCTGAGCCAGCAGTTCATACCCCACCATGAACTTTCTGATGGTGGCAGACCGTAACAGAGGCGGGTAGTAGTGGGCATGAAGCTGCCAATGTCTATTGTCCTGGTTCAATGACTCCCCTGTGGGGGCTCCTGTTGAAATACAGCATTTATTGTATCACTTCCTGGCCTTTTGGCTAAGGCCAAGTACACAGGACAAGGAGGAGTTGCTCTGGTATTTAGCGTTTGTGCTCTGGAACTCCATTCCCAGGTCTCTGCGACATGCTCCCTCCCTCCCCTATGCTCGAGATGGAGGTAGGAAAGGTTTCCTTGGAGTTGAACTGGTCTCTAGTCCAGTTCCTGAGCCAGGTGGGTTCTCAGTATTCCAGGACACTGCTGATGACAGAGCCAGCCTGGCTCATCGACAGAACCTGGAAGGGCAGATCAGTCACTGGGGGCAGAGATTCTTCCCACTCAGCTCCTGTTAACCCTGCAAACTAAAGCTCTGATGGGTAGGGTGGTCCTAGCTGGACAAGCAGCGGGAAAGCTTGCCAGACAGCATATCAATGGCAAGTTATGTGGTTTTGATACCCAGCAGTTACCGCAACGCACACTCCCCAAGCTTTGGATCTGGCTAACCTGTGCCTAATACTCTCTTGAATTGGGTAAGCAGAGTACATTCCTCCAGGGAGAGAATGCACATTCCAGACACAGGGAAAACTTCCATGAGTGGGTGGTACGCACGCAACTCTCAGTCTGGAGTGGATACACTTAAGCAAGGTTGATGGGTTTCTGCATGTGTCAGACACCCGGCGGAACAGAGTTCTTTTTTTATATAAATTATGCTTGTCTAATAAAAGGCAAACGAATAAAAGGAAAAGAAGTGCTTTAGCACAGTGCAGATCCTGGCAGCACATGAAAGACTTACCGTGCCACCCCATTGAGTAGGGGAAAGAGACTTCAAATAGATTGTCGTATTTTGTCAAGAGCCTTTTCATTATAGAAGCCAGGCCTGGAAAACAGACAACGAGAGAAGAAAGGGAAGTGGAAGCTTTTATTAAATAATACAAGCCAAAATGTTGCAACCATCTTAAACTGGCTAAAGGATGTAAGAAAAGCCTAGCCGTCTGCTAATCCAGGTCATAGATTAGCTCATAGAATCATACTAACAGAAAATCTTGCATTTCATGTAGTGTCGTCAATACACTTCAAAGTACTTCTCAGGATTTTACTCTGAAGTGTTGCGGTTAAGTGTATATATTGCAGGTGAACACAGCAGCCGATTCGCACACAGCAACATCCCACAAACAGCCATAAAGTGAATGACCAATTTTTATTTTATCTGCGGGATTGTTGGCCAGGAGGAAACTACCTTCTCTTTTCGGATGGTGCCACGGCATCTTTAACATGCACCTGTACAGGCAGACAGGACCTCGGTTTAACATGTCATCAGCATGCAGGTTTTCAACAATTCTGCCCCGCTCCCTGGAACTCCATCCCAGAGTCTCCCCTCTTCGCCCCTCCCTCCCCACTTTTAAAGTCCGCCTTAAGTCGTCTCTTTGAACTTGCTTTTCAGTCATTTTTTCCATCTCCACCCTTCTTAGCTGCCCGACCCCACTCTCCTCCCCACCAGCTTGGGTGCTGTTAACGATATGAAGTGCTTTGAGACGTCCTCTGGATGTGAAAAGCACTACAGTATATAATGGTAAATTGTACTGGGTGTTATGAACGCCCGTTTGCACAGTAGAAAGACAGCAGATACTGCAGTGAGACTTGGTGTTTCCTTAGTTTCTTGGTGTGTGAGAAACTCTCATTGTCAGAGTAAATGGGCTTTAGAAAACCAGTTTCCTTACTGTTCCTTTCTTTCTCGGTCAAATCTTGCAGACGAAGGACGTGCCTTCTCGGAAGAAGCAAAGTCTGGAAAGGCCATATCGCCCAATATGGAACCACTACCAACCAGTCTTCATTCTCAACTACAATCCGCTCCTAAAGAGGCCAAAACCACAGACACTTTATTAATAACAATCATCCTTGCATTTGACATTATGTCCCGATGATGTCTCAAAGTGATTCACAGGATTTTACTGTCAAGTATAGTGACTGTATTTTGTAGGCAAATGCGGCAGTCAATTTGCGCACAGTAATGTCCCACAAACACCCATGGAGTGAGTGACCACAATTTTTATTTGGGGGATTGTCGGCCAGCACACCGGCAGAGAGAGAAACTCCCTTCTCTTTTTGAATAGTGCCACGGGATCTTAAACGTCCACCTGAACAGGCAGATGGGACAAACAGGCAGTTTGACTTCTCTTCTGAAGGACAGCATCTCCGACAAGAATGTTTCCCCCAGCACTGCACTGGAGAGCTCGTTACTTTTAGAGGTAAATTGGTCACTCACTTCATGGCTCTTTGACTGACATTGTTGTGCACGAATTGATTTCTAGGTTTGCCTAAAAAAAACATAGTCACTACATTTTCAATTCTGTGAAGCACTTTGAGGGTTTTGACATGATAGATAGCGAGCAATATCGAAATGCAAGGATTATAGGCTTATTATTTTGTCACTGTATAACCGTCTCACTCTTCCGTATGTCAATACATTGTGTAATTGGCTCACTAAGTTGTACAATAGTACACTGCTTAACAGATCAGGTGTCAGCTTGGCTCAGTTAGCAGCACATTCGCCTCTGAGTCAGAAGGTTGTGGGTTCAAATCCCACTTTGGTCTTGGCTGACACACCAATCCATTACATTGGGAGCGCTGCATTGAAGGATGACGTCCTTTGGATGAGACGTTAAACCAAGGTCCCGTTTTGGCTATTCAGATGGATGTTAAGGATCCCAAGGCACCATTTGAAAAAAGAAAGGAGTTTCTCCCGGTGACTTGGCCAACAAAATCGACCATTCATTCACTTCAAGGCTATTTGTGAGAACATTGCAGTGTACTGCCTCATTCACCCTCAAAATGCAAAGTCACTACATTTAACAGTAAAATCCTGTGAGACTTCTGATTGACCTGAGAGACACAGTATCAAAAGCAAGGATTGTTATTATTGAACTGGGTGCCCGATTTTCCCTAGAACTGCATCTCCTTTACTCTGTAAACTATCAGTGGAGAAACTACAGGGTAACCAAAAAGTCATGATAATATTGCTGTCTAATAATTCTTAAAGAAATTATGATATTTGTGTTTTGTTTTAAATAAAATCACAACTTTTTGGTCACCCTGTATTCACTTAGTTTGATATAAATCGGAGTGAATTGGTTTGAAATTTTTGTGAAAAATTTTTTTTGTACCATTTTATTTTGCTCTGAAGTCCGGAGATAATTTAACTTAAACTTCTTTCACAATAAATTAGTTCCTCGCTGTTATGCACCTCAAGGTTAACGCCCAAAGGACTTTCTATCAGAGTACTGTCTTGTATCAGGACATCCATTGCTAATTTCAGTGGACGGAAAATATGTACAATTGGATACTGCCTTTCTCCCAGCTGCAGCTGATGTAATCCAGAGTATCTGCTCCTGCCTGTCTGTTTTGGAGAAGTTCATTTCTCTACCCATAATAATAAATAACAGTAAAACTCGCTTACATCTTATCTTTATCAATCATATAATCGCCCGAGTCATACATGCACTTGAGCCGCATTCAGTTTCCTACCAAAACTCACTTAGGTTTCTTTGCACTAGTCGATTTCATAAAGAAAATCATCTCCTAACTTGTAACGCCATTAGCGCACTTACCAGCTGCATTGAGTTGTGGAAAATGTTCTGAACCTGTAGACTATTATTGATTAAATTAATTATTGATTAAATCAGATTTTATACAAATTACGTAAGTTTGCCTCTAACTCATGCTTCGTGATGTCAAACGGATTAAATGCTATGGTCCTGACTCAAATGACTCATGTGACTTTTACTGTAATAATAATCCTTGCATTTGACATAACGCCTTTCACATCATCAGGATGTCTCAAAGCGCTTCACAGAATTTACAGTAAAGTGCTGTGACTTTGTATTTTGTAGGCGTACCCGGCACCCTATTTGCATACAGCAATGTCCCACAAACCAGCCAATTTTATTTGGGGGATTGTTGGCCAGGACACCAGGAGAAACTCCCTTCTCTTTTCAAATAGTGCCAGGAGATCATTAATGCCCATCTGGAGCATCAGACTAGACTTGTGACTAGATTCCCCCTTCCTCCCCAACCCTCTCCCATTACTGCAAAAGCCTGCTTTTCAAATGAGTCCCAGTGTCCCAGCCTCAACCACCTTTTCTGGCAATCTTTGCCCACCCTTTGCATAAAGAAAACCTTCCTGCAGTCTGTCCTGAAATTGCCTTTTGCAACTCTAAACCTGTGTCCATTTATTCTACTATGTTATTGAATGAGCCTCGATTGCTGTTGAAAGCTGCAGTGTTGATAATTTCTGACACAAAGTCCTACGAAGGAGTGAGGGTTCTCTGCTGACTAAACAGTTTACATCATGAAGTCTAGGCTGGCACTCCAACACCATGTTGGGGGAAACACTACATTGTTGGAAGTGCTGTCCTTCGGATAAGACATTAAACCTGGAGTGTCTGTTCAGGTGGATGTTAATGATCCCATGGCACTATTCAAAAAGAGAAGGGAATTTCTTCCAGTGTCCTGGTCAACAATCTCCCAAATAAAATTGGTCATGACTGCTTGTAGGGATGTTGCTGTGCTCAAATTGGATGTCATCCTAGAAAATCCTGTGAAGCGCTTTGAGATGTCCTCCTGATGTGAAAGGTGCTTTATCTTTATCTATCATTAGGCAAACTGAAAACTACTTAAGGCATATTATTGGACTCTTTCTCGCCCGCAGGAATTTGGTGATGTGTTTTTCGAGGATCCAGAACTGGGAACAGAGAGATCACAAAAGTGAGAGACAGAGACAGAGAGAGAGAGAGAGAGAGAGAGAGAAAGAGGTTCGGCTGTCAAAGGATCTTCAGCCCATTTGATCTGATCCTTCCCAAATCCCAATTCTACTGCCGTCTTCCTATTGCAATGTCAAGCTGTTTCTTAAACAATTCCATGTGTCCTGACCTCAACCACTCTTCCTGGTAACCCGTTCCAGCTGTTGACTGCCCGCTGCATGAAGTAATATCTCCCGGTGACTGTCCTAAAACCATGCCCTGTGCAAACCTGACGCTCTGACCTCTCATCCCTCTGCTCTGTCTGACCTGAAAATATCATTCTGAGGTTACTCTCTCTATCGCTGTTGAGCATCTTATAAACCTCTGTGGCTCTCCCCTCCGAGATAATAATAATAATCCTGGCATTTGATATAGCACCTTATCACATCATTGAAACATCTCAAAGTGCTTTGTAGAATTCACTATAAAGTGGATTGATCGTGTGTTTTGTGGGCAGCCAATTACACACAGAAGTGTCCCACAAACAGTCGTGGATTGAGTGACTACATTTTTTTTTTTGGGTGGGATTATTACCCAGAAAGTGATCCATCAATCGACTAACAACCAGGTTCCTACTTGTTGCTAGGTAAACAGAGGCGTGTGGAGTAAAGAAACTTGCCTAAGGTTTCACCCTGCCCAGGAATCAAACCCGGGTCCTCTCATTTGCAAGACGAGCACGCTGACTACTAAGTTAAGGGACTCTATGATGTCTCAATGAAACAGAGAGACTGCCTCCATTATGAGAATAATATTAATAATAATACTTGGATTTGATACATCACTTCACACAGCTGGCTGGAACCCGAGCTCGGTGGGCGGGGGAGGACGAGAAAAGATAGTAAGTCAGGAGATAGTATATGATCTAATTACTGACGTACAGAGGAGTGAGCCAGGTACTGATATATAGAGAAACAAACTTCCTTCAAACCACAAACTGGTCTCAAAAACAAATTGGAGCCCTTACTTTTCTTAAAGTGACGGAAATGTGAGGCAATAAAAACAAGCATTGGTGTAACAGCTGGAACATGACAACCCGTCGGATATAAAATAACTAAATGCACAGAGAGGGGAACATCGAACCGCAAGCCGGCACCTTACTGGCACGGTTCACTTGACGAATCGCCGTGAAGTGCTAAAGACACCTGACCTATTCGCTTGGACAGATGCCACATACTTTTCTGGCCGTAATCCCCACATCAAACTCCACTGTAGTGAAACAGAAGCACGAGTGTGTAGTCAAACAGAAGCCAGCTGCTAATGCTACAATCTACAACAATAATAACAATCGTAATCCTTGCATTTGATATAGCGCCTCATCATGTTGTTGAAACTTCTCAAAGCGCTTCACACAATATACTGTGAAGTGATTGACTGTTTATTTAGTGGACGAAACGCGGCAGCCAATTGCGCACAGCGGTGTCCCACAAACAGTCATGGATTGAGTGACCGCAATTTTTTTTCTATGAGGTTAATCAGTGAACAGGACCTTCTTCTGAGCCTCCAAATTGGCGTAGTCCAGCAGCAGGGGCATCCCCTGGTTCCCAAAATACTCCCTCTGAGTGCGGTCAGCCATCCTGGGCTCGTTGGGAAGAAAGGAGCTCGCCCACACCTGAAAGAGACCAGAGTAATTCATTGTGAACCTGTGTCAAATTCATATAGAATTTACAGTACAGAAGGAGGCCATTCAGCCCATGGTGTCAGTGCCTAATCTTGGAAGAGCTAACCAAGCAGAGAAGGTTAAGGGGGGCTTGAAAATAGGTGTTCAAAATTATGAGGGGTTTTGATAGAGTAGATAGGGAGAAACTGTTTCCACTGGCGGGTGGGTGGGTAACCGGGGCACATATATTTAAGGTAATTGGCAAAAGAATCAGAGTACTTTCATTATTACAACTGGCGAACAAGGCACCGGCTCCCCATCCGGCACGTTAAAAATCCCGTGGCGCTACTCGGATAGAGAAGGGAGTTTCTCTCGATGTCCTCACCAATGATTCCACCCTCCCCAAATAGAATTGGTCATTCACATCATGGCTGTTTGTTTGTGAGGCATTGCTGCGTGTAAAATGACTGCGGGGTTCATCTGCAAATAATAATAATGACGATAATCCTTGTTTTTATAGCGCTTCACTGTAAAGTGCATCGACTGTGTATTTTGTAGGTGAAAGCGACAGTCAACTTGCACACAGCAATGTCCCACAAACAATGATGATATCTAGGACCACCACCCCCGCCCCCAACGCTTTGTTGGAGGTGGCCATGTGAGTGTCTTCACTGGTGATGGCTGTAGAAGGATAATATGGGGTTTGACCGATCAATGAACCCCATTTGACAGCTTTCTTGATGTCAAGGCACCACAGCAGAATGGTCTAGCGGAACCAGACTCCGGGTAACAGGAAAAGAACTCAAACACATCACTGAAGACAGGGAAAATGGAAGAGAAAACTAGATTGCTGAGTCCCACAGTGTAGCAGTTAGCACTCTCGCCTCGCAAGCGAGAAGACCCGGGTTTGATTCCTCGGTGGGGAGAAACCCTAGGCAAGTTTCCTTACTCCGCACGCCTCTGTTTATCTAGCAGTAAATAGGAACCCAGTTGTTAGTCGATTGGTGAATCACTTTCCAAACAAAGTTTGGTCACTAAATTCACGACTGTTTGTGGGATGCTGCCGTGTGCAATTATTTCGCCCACAAAATAAACAGTCAATCCACTTTACAATATATTCTGTGAAGCACTTTGAGACGACTCACCAACATGATAAGTCGCTGCATCAAATACAAGGATTATTATTATTGTTACTTTTTTTGATATTGTTGAGCTTCCTAAAATTCAAGTTATTATTATTATTGTTAATACTGTAATAGGTGCTCTATCAAATGCAAGGATTATTATTATATTATTATAAAACTAAATGGGGGTGGGGGGGTTGGAGAGGAAGGGGAAAGAACAAAAACATTTCATCTGGAAAAGAAAACTAAATGCTTCATTGCTTTGGGTAATTTTATATTCTTCACTGTCCTCTTCAATTTTCTTCTAGTGATGTTAAACGTTCCTTCCCATTCCTCTGCAAGTGCTCGCTCCGAAACCCAAGATGCATTCCTTGACCACAAGAGCACAGCGCTGCTCAATTAGAGACTTTGAAGCTGGTAAATATCCCACATGTGACACTAGCCAGTGGGCCAGGAGTCCACCCTGACACTAAACAGGTGTGTCTGCTCTCAAAGCCCGGGCAAGTCTCCTTTCAGAAGGCTGTTCCCCCAAGCCCTGCTCTGCTCGCCGCACCATTAGCAGTCTGGCCTTTCAGCCTCTCTGCCCCCACTCTCTGGATCTCCATCCTGCGGTCCCTCCAACTCGTTCTCCTTCCTTCAGCTTGTTTGCCCACAAATACACAGTCAGTCCACTTTAAAGTATATTCTGTGAAGCGCTTTGAGAAGTCTCTAAGACGTGATAAGGCACTATATCAAATGCAAGCATTATTATTATTTATATTTATTCAGTGCATTTCTCATTGGGAGGACACCCCAAGGCCCCTGTCAACAACAAATTGCATTTATCTAGCACTATTTATATCGGGAGGATGTCCCAAGGCACGAGGATCAATACAAGATCATGGTTTGGCACCGAAGCTGGGGGCGGGGGGAAGATGACCTGGTAGGTCTTGAGATAGACCTTGAGGGGGGGAGGGAGGAAGGTAGGGAGGGAGGGAATGAACGAACGAACGAGCCAGAGGGACTCCAGGATGCAGTTTCAGAGACTGGGGGCAGGTAATATGAAGGTCATAACTGCTTATGGTGGGGCGGGCAGAGCAGGGGAACAGGAGGCAGGAATGTCAATCCAGTAGACAAAAGGACAGTGAGGAGTTACAGACGGCCTCAGTGGGGAGCACTCTGGTCTCTGGGTCAGAAAGCTGTGGGATCAAGCCCCATTGTGGGGACTTTCTCTGAGACCACAGTACTGGGAGGATGAGTGCGGAGGGCAGGGGGATTTGGTCAGGAGGTGTGTTCTTCAGAGGAGACATTGAGCCATCTACCTTTTCAGTGAAACATTATGCAGCCTCTGAAGGTGCTACTTGAAAACAGGAGGAAGGTTTCTCCCAGTGTCCTGGTCGAAAATGCATCAGGTAACATTGGTCATTCACTTCATGGCTGTTTGTGGGACATTGACTGCGCAAACTGACTGCACACGGACACAAAGGACCTCTCACTGGCAAGTGTGACTTGGTATTTTTCAACCACATGAGCCACAGTTTAGCCTGACACTCCAGCGCAGCGCTGCATTGTCAGAGGTGCCATCCTTCAGATGAGACAATAAATTATCTGTGCCTGATCAGATGGATATTAAAGATCCCTTGGCGCTATTTGCAAAGAGAAGGGATTTCTCCCGGGGTCCTAGCCAACAATCCCCTGGTAAAAATTGATCCTTCACTTCATGTCTGTTTGTGGGACATTGCTGCGCACAAATGGGCTGCCACATTCACCTACAAATAGTTACTACAACAACAATTTGCATTTATATAGCATTCTTCACAGAGGGTAATGTCTTGGGAGTCCTTCACGGGGATTGGGCTGTAAAATCCAGTAAAATCATGACAAACATTTTGAGACACCTCAACCGATGTGATAAGGCACTATATCAAATGCAAGGATTATTATAATAACTACGATATGTTGTCCAACATTGAAGGGCATTACATAAATGTAAGCTGTTGTATCTTAACCTCGTGTCCTCTGGTTATTGACTCCATGTGGAATCCTGTAGCTCAGTGGTTAGAGCACTTGCCTCGCAAGCGAGAGACCTGAGTTCGATTCCCAGCAGCGCGAAACCTTGGGCAAGTTTCCTTACTCCACACGCCTGATAATAATCCCTCAGGAAAAAAACAATAATACATTGGTCACTTCAATCCACGACTGTTTGTGGGACACTGCTGTGTGCAATTGGCTGCCGCATTTCGCCCACAAATATAGTCAATTCACTTTACAGTATATTCTGTGAAGCGCTTTGAGACATCTAGAAGATGTGAAAAGCACTATATCAAATGCAAGGATTATTATTATTATTACTATGACTACTGGAAAAGTCTTAATAATTCCCAGGTCTCTTTGCCTCCCCTCCTGTTGTGCCATTTGCAGTTACCCAATTTTTGTGTTGCCAAACTCTGCCCTGGGTTTATTCCTTGTGCTCTGACACATGCGTATCCCTGATTCCCATTTCTTTCCTGTTCTCTTTTTTCCCCTTTTGCTCTCACGCCTTGTCCTGTATTTTATTATCCTTTATTATTATCCTTTTTTCCCCTTTTGCTCTCACTCCTCGTCCCGTATTTTATTATCCTCCCTCTGTCTTCTCTTTTCGCTCAATATCCCTCATCAATGTGTCTCTCTCCCTCTGTCTTTCTTTTTTGCCTGTCTTCACTCTGTCTCTCTCTCTCTCTTCTGTTTGCCTTTTCTCTGTTTCTCTCTCTTCCTCTCTAACTTTCCTCTCTGTTTCTCTCTAACTTTTCTCTCTATTTCTTTCTCTCTCCTTTTTCTCTTCCGCTCCTTCGCTCTGTCACTCTTGCTCTCTCCTTTCTGTCTGTCTCTCTCGCTCGCTTCCCCCACGCTCGTGCTCTCGTCTCACCCTTTCTCCTCTGTGTTTCTCAGTCACTGTAGATACTAAAGTACCCACAAGAAAATTTCATAGAACAGCTCACAGGCTCCACCTAGTGCATTACTCATTTGGATGCAGTGCTGAAACAATAATTGCACTATTAGATAGCATGTCTTACTGCACCAAAATGTCTCCAATCTCTTCACGCAAAGGGTTAATTTGAAAGGCTATGATATGGGCATATGTGCCAACTAGTCTGAATTGATGAACCAAGCCAACAGTGTGAAGCCCTTTGAGATGCTCTCCCGACATGCAAAGCTCTATATAAATTGTATCGTATTGTAATTCTCCCACAGACAATGAGATGATTGAATGAATTGAACTGTTGCTGATTTTCAAAAAGATTTAACTTGGTTTAACTTGGGATGTCGTGTTCACAATTGAGGGCCTCGACACGTTAATTCAGATTTCTTTAAAGGGAGATGCCACCAAAGGGGAGTGAGCTTTTCTGGGGGCAATAATCTCTTTAAGAAAAATAATAATTGGGTCACTCAATCCACGACTGTTTGTGAGATACTTGCTGCCGCGTTTTACCCACAAAATGTAGTCGATTCACTTTACAGTATATGCTGCGAAGCTCTTTGAGACGTCTCGTAGACGTGATGAGGTGCTATATCAAATGTAAGGATTATTATTACATTTCTATTGCCCTCTCCCTCATGTGAAGGTTTAGCTTCCTCTAGAATGCATCTACACTGTCTGATTCAAGCACCACTTCAGGCAGTGAGTTCCACAATCTCACTACTCTCTGCTTGAAGTACTTCTTCCTATTATTATTATTATTATTATTATTATTTTGGACGAGGAGAAACGTTGGCCAAGGAGACTGTCCGAACGCTTGGCTCTTGGCTCAAAATAGCACCACGGAACCTACTCAAAATGTACCTCACTCACCGTGCTTTGGTCAACCTTCTCCTCTTCTGTCCACTCCACCTTGCAGCTCAAATCCTAGCTCAAGTGCCCATCCAGTAGTGGGTAGCACTTTTGAGACATCGTACCAATGGGAAAGACATAAATCTACACACCAGAACAGTCATATGGGACTTCAGTCTCACGTCTTGTCCGAAAGATGGCCTCCTGTTCAGGTGGACACTGCAGTGCCCATATTATTCACATAGAAATGCAAATTCCCCACAGAGCATTGTAAAAAGATGCTATTACAGGCTCAATACCAAACACAAGGGTTATTTTCAAAAGAGTTGCCAACTACATCTTATTATCATTCATTATAACAATGATCCTTGCATCTTATATGGTGCCTTTCACGTCGGGAGGACGTCTCAATACGGGGTCTGTAGCTCAGTGGTTGGAGCACTCGCCTCGCAAGCAATTCCAGGCAGGGCGAAACCTTGGCCAAGTTTCCTTACTCCACACGCCTGATACTAATTCCTCAAGGAAAAAATAATAATAATAATAATTTGGTCACTTCAATCCACGACTGTTTGTGGGACACTGCTGTGTGCAATTGGCTACCGCGTTTCACCCACAAATATACAGTCAATTCACTTTACAGTATATTCTGAGAAGCGCTTTGAGATGCCTCAAAGAATTGATAAGGCGCTATATCAAATGCAAGGATTATTATATATTATTTTATTGTAATGGGCTTCACGGGATTTACCGTAAAGCGTAGTTTGGAAGCAAATGTGATTGCCTATATTCCAACAACAACAACAACTTGCATTTGTATAGGATACTTCAACTGGGTAGCATCTCGGAGCTAGCTCAGTGAATGACCAAAGAACCATTTTTTTTACAGCCAACCCATTATTGCATTTACTCCGTTTCATTTATCCTAAAGACAGAGATCAATAACTTTCTATTGGTTCCCCTGCGCTTGGTGTCCACCTCTGATGCCAAGCAAAATAAGCTTCTCTCCCTCTCATGGTGTTGTCGGCAAACAGATTTTTTAAAATCTCTTCTGGTCGGATGGTCAGTGTCTGGTAGATACCGACATCCTGTGGTCATTCTTAGAATTGCATTAACTGCAGATCTAATTATAACCGTTACATTTGATATACTGTCGTGTTTCATGTCGAGAGTATGTCTGAAAGGGCTTCATATGACATACAGTACCGTAAAGTGTAGTTACTGTGTATTTTTTTGTAGGCAAACGCAGCAACCAATTTGCACACACACAGCAGCATCCTGCAAACAGCCATGAAGTGAATATTATTAGGATTAGAATAATGATAAATATAAATGATCCTTGTGTTTGATGTCACGTTGGTGAGACGTTTCAAAGGAATTCACTGTGAAGCGTAGTGACTGTTTGTTTTGTTCACAAATGCCCATTTTCCTCCACAAACAACAACAACAACAACAAGATTCCATTTATAAAGCGCCTTTCACGTCAGGAGGACGTCCCAAGGCGCTGAAACAGCCATGATGTGAATGGCTACTTTTAACTTATACAAGATTTACGCATTTCATTCATCATTTATGGGCACCACCAGTTCATAGGACAGTGTAATAGAACTTTATAGAAAGTGTGAAGAGAAATTTAATGGGCAAGATGCTTAAAGGATAATAATAATCCTTACATTTGATATGGCATCTTATCACATCATTGAGACGTCTCGAAACGCTTCACAGAATATACTGTGACGTGGATTGACTGTATTTGGTGAGTGAAACATGGCAACCAGTTTGTGAACTGCAGTGCCCCACAAACAGCAAAGGAGTGAGTAAACAATTTTATTTTGGGGACTGTTGGCCAGGACATTGGGAGAAATTGCCTTCTCTTTTCAAGTAATAATAATAATAATTAATGTCCACCTGAATGGGCAGATGGGATCTCGGTTTAGGGTCTCAGCCAAAGGAGGGCGTCTCTGACAATGCAGTGCAGGGATGCAGGGCTTGAACCCACAACCTTCCAACTCAGAGGCAAGAGGTGCCATCCGTCGGACGAGATATGAGACTGAGCCAGTGTGATAGTCCAGGTGTGGGGCTCCAGCTCAGAAGATGAAAGGTGAGCGTTCAAATTTAATGACTCCACACAAAGGGTGGTGAACACTTGGACAGGCCTGTCTACGGAAGAAGCGAAGACGGATTGTACCCGGATATTCAGGAGGGATTAGATCGCTGTTTGGCCAAGACACTCGCACTGAGAGGCATGAAAGATAGAGTAGTGTAGGATTATTTATTGATGTTTACTTTGGGAGTGATCCAGATGGTCTGTCATGGTCTTTTCCTGTCCTGAACATTCCTGTGTTCCCTCAGGGGTTTGTGTTCACAGGATTGAGGATACGTTGACCTTGTTCCTGCCATATATTACCGACAGAGAACACAGCACTTGACGCGCTTGGATTTAATGCCAATAACAAGACGTTACAACTAGTGACCCCGTTAAAGGTTTCTATTGTTTACTTGCCTTCTTGCCTTCCCCTTGTGGTTTCGACTTTGGGAGGCTTACACTTTTGGGACTGAAACCACCGTAGAGAAATGCAGAAATAATAACTTTGATGTTTCCCACTGGATTTAGCGTTTCGCCAGCTCCAAAAGGTACAGGGCTTGGTAACCTTTGTTTTTTTTAAAAGCATACAGAAAGTTCCCATGTGAAGGGCGTGATGTAAATGCAAATTAAAACTTAATAATAATCCTTGCATCGTTGAGACGTCTCAAGGCGCTTCACAGAATATACTGTAAAGTGAATTGACTGTATATTTTGTGGGCGAAACATGGCAGCCAATTGCGCACAGCAGTGTCCCACAAACAGTTGTGGAGGGAGTGAGACTTTCTTAAGGGATTATTACCCCTGGAATTCGGTCCGCCAACCGGGTTTCTACTTTCTACTAGGTAAACAGAGGTATGTGGAATAAAGAAACTTACCTAAGGTTTTGCCCCGCGTGGGAATCAAACTCAGGTCCTCTCTTGCGAGGCGAGTGCTCTAACCAATAGGCTACCGGTCTCCACGTCGCTGGGGCATTTACAGAGGGAATGCAATAATAATATATAATAATCATCCTTGCATTTGATAATAATAATAATCGTTGCATTTGATATAGCGCTTTTCACGTCGGGAGGACGTCCCAAAGCGCTTCACAGAACACACTGTAAAGTGAATTGACTGTATATTTGTGGGCGAACGCGGCAGCCAATTGCGCAGAGTAGTGTCCCACAAACAGTCATGGATTGAAGTGACCAAATTATTATTGTGTTCTTTTTGAGGGATTATTATCCCCGGAAAAGCGATCTGCCAAACGACTAACAACCGGGTTCCCACTTACTGCTAGGTAAACAGAGGCGCGTGGAGTAAGGAAACTTGCCTAACATTTCGCTCTGCCGGGAACAGAACCCAGATCTCTCACTTGCGAGGTGAGTGCTCTAACTACTGAGCTACAGGACTCCGTCTCTACCTTTGGTGTCAGTGTTATGAATACTTAGGTCAGGTGCTTGTTAGATCTGATGAATGTGATCAAGACAATGCACTCATGATCTCTCAGTCATGTTTCCTCAGCTCACTCACACAACAAAGATCCACATCCCTGTTTTGCATTACGTAATACACAAGAACAAAGGTCCAAGGTCAGAAAAGCCAATTACAGTCAGTCTGATTGGAGTCAGTTTCTAAAATATCACTAGTATTCAAAATCTACCTCTATTGTATCCCCATCCATTTCTCTTTATATTCCCATTCAACTCACATTTGTGTCTCCATCCAAACTCCTTCATATCCTCATCCAACTCACCTTCATATCCCCATTCCAATCTCCTCATATCATTATTAAATATGCTGACCCTATTTTAATAGGTAAAAGAAACAAAGCGGAGGAGAGGAGAAATTATTTTACACAGCGGGTTGTTCATATCTGGACCGCATTGCCTGAAAGGGTGGTGGAAGCCGATTCGGTAAAAACTTTTAAGGGAGAAGTAGATAATTATTTGGGGAGGACAGGTGTGCTGTGCTATGGGGAGAGCGCGGGGAGTGGGACTGAATTGGATAGCTCTTTTCAAAGAGCCGGCACAGATATGATCAGCCGAATGGCCTCCTTCTGTGCTGTATAATTCTACAATTCTATTCATCTGCATTGTTTCCTTGAAAGTTCTGTTTCAAATATTCATCATCCTCCGCACTTAAACTACTATAAATCCAAAGCAGTTTGTTCACCTAATCCCTTTCTGAGTCGAACTCATCTAAAAACATCAGATTCCTCTTCAACCCTCTATTTGTTCCCTCAATTCATGACTGTTTGTTGGACACTGCTGTGCGCAATTAATTGGCTGCCGCATTTCACCCACAAAATACAGTCAATCCACTTACAGTATGTTCCGTGAAGCACTTTGAGACGTCTCAACAACGTGATAAGACGCTGTATCAAATCCAAGGATTATTATTCTGAAGTGTAAATGGTCTGTTTTCTCGCTTTCTCTTCTCGTAGCTCAGGCGCCTACAGCCACATAGCACCATTACTGCTTGTAAATCACAGGTACATTGTTATTGTCCTACCTGACAGTGAGGGTGTGGATTTGAGCAGCCCATCATAGCTCCTTTGTTCTCAAAAATCTGGAAACACAGAAGAAATCAGGCTGTTAAAAGGCTGTTGAGTAAATCTGTTTACCTGGCAATATGTAGTCGTTAGTCCATTCAGCAGATCGCTTTTCCGGGGGTAATAATTCCTTAAAAATAAATAAATTGGTCAATTTAACGGCTGTTTGTGGAATACAGCTGTGTGCAATTGGCTGCCGCGTTTCACCCACAAAATATACAGTATGTAAATATAGTTTACAGTATATTTTGTGAAGCCCTTTGAGACGTCTTGAAGACGTGATAAAGCGCTATATCATATGCAAGGATGATTATTATTATTATCCTTTATAATAACAATAATCTTTTATTATTACTAAAAATCACTTGACTGAAGCCTGTAATAAATGATCCAAGGATGTTAGGGGTGAGAATGTTCTCTCTCTCACTGCTTTGTACAGCGATGTTGTCGCAGTCGGTAACATTCTTGCCTATAAGTGAGAAAGTTGTGGGTTCAAGATCTACGTTGCGACTTTGAACTCACAGTCTAGGCTGACAGTCCGAAGCACAGTTAGGAAAGCGCTGATTTGTCACAGGTGCCGTCTTTTGCATGAGACATTAAACTGAGGTCCCATCTGCCTGTTCAGGTGGACTTTAAGATCCCATGGCGCTACTCTAAAAGAGAAAAGAGTTTCTCCTGGTGTCCTGGCCAACAATTTCCTCGATAAAATCGGTCACTCATTTCACGGCTGACAGTGGGACGTTGCTATGTCCAAATTGGCTGCTGCGTTCATCTAAAATACACAGTCACTGCACTTTGCAGTAAAATCTGGGGAGGTGCTTTGAGGCATCTTTATGACAGTGATAAGGGACTGTATCAAACGCATGAGTTACACTGTTGTGTCTATGCATTTATAATGGGAAAATAACCCCAAATCTCCCCCTATCCCCTTCGAGAATGGGTAACAATCATTTCATATTAATGCAAAGATTATCATTATTCAAGTGTTTCATTGAACACGTAGTAAGATCATGATAAGCCTTCCATTCGACAATATTCCTTTCATGTCAAAGTGTCTCAAAGTGCTTCACGGGGCATTGTTGATAAGTGAAGTGACTGTATAATTTGTAGGAAACACAGCTGCCAACTTGCTCACAGAAAGGTCCCATAAACGGCCATGAATTAATTAAACACCCAATTAATACGGGGGGAGTGGGATTATTGGTTAGGACACCGGGAGAAACTCAGTTTCCTTTTTAATAGTGCCATGGAACACTTAAACAGGCAGGTGGGACCTCGGTCGAATTTCCAATCCAGAGGACAGCTTCCGACAATGCAGCACTCCCCCAGTAGCGCACTGGGGTGTCAGCCTGGGCTATGAGCACAAATCCCAATATATAATAATAGTAATCCTTGCATTTGATATAGCGCTTTTCATGTCGGGAGGACATCCCAAAGCACTTCACAGAACACACTGTAAAGTGAATTGACTGTATATTTGTGGGCGAATGCGGCAGCAATTGCGCACAGCAATATCCCACAAACTGAAAATGACCAATTTATTATTGTTTTTGGTTTTGGAGGGAATATTATTAGGCTCTGTGTGGAGTAAGGAAACTTGTCCAAGGTTTCGCCCTCTGCCTGGAATTGAACTCAGGTCTCTCACTTGCAAAGCGAGTGCTCTAACCACTGAGCTACAGGATTCCACGCCATATGGGGCGCAAACCCACAACCTTCTGAACGACCGAGGCGAGAACACTACCAAATGAGCCAGACTGGCACAGGGGCCATTTAAAGGAGTTTAATGATTAATTCAGTGCTGCCAGCTGTGGTTACCTGCACCCATCGGTACGTTGATCCAAGCTCCATCATTAGCTCTGCCCACTTGTCAATCACAGTCCTGATCTCTGCGACGGACATCAACGGCAGAGTGACATCAGACCAAGGATGGAAACACATGACTTTACTGGAAAAGAGGAGGTGACAAGAGTTTTAGTCAAGTGCCCGTCAACGTCACGCAGCTCTCTCAGTCTCTTCTCTCTCTCTGTAACCTGTGATTTATTTTCTCTCTGTTCTCAGTTCCCTGTTCCCTATTTGTATAAGGTGAGACAGAGAGAGACTGAGGGAGAAACTGAGAGAGAGAGAGAGGGAGAGAGAAGGAGGGAGGGCTTTCTTTTCCTCAAATTTCCTTCCCTTTTCATGTCAGCGAGTGTGTTAAAAACGAGATTCGTTCTGGAGCTTTAAGAGAGTCAGCTACAGGGGTTTGGGGAAAGGGCAGGCAAATGGGACTGAAAGTATTGCTCTTCAGGGAGCCAACCAGCACAGTCACGATGGGCTGAATGGCCTTTGGTGCTGGAAATTTCTATAATTCAAGCAACACCTCAGCATCTTACCTACAACCCGCTGTCCTCCATACAAAAGCAAGAGGTTTTTTTTCTGTTATTATCATTAATAATTATTATTATCATCATCCTTTTTGAGAGTCTTATTAAAGTGAATATTTACCAAACTCCTCTGGCAACTCTTGCTTGCAGCAGTGGATGTTCGCTGGGACCTACATGTTCAAAGGAAAGTTTTCACCATTTACATAGTGGACAGTGATTCCCAAGGAAAAGAGTTTAAATCAGTCTTTAACTTCCCAGAACTTCACTCGCTCGATTACCTAAATGGGTAAAGCTCACACGGACAGAGAGTTGTAGGTTCCCCTCCCAATCTGGGCTGAGGTAGTCGATCTCAGTATTTGCTTTGGTCAGCAAGGTGTCCATCATATATAGAAATCCAACACACACTACCACTGTACAGAAAAACTCTGTGAAACCTTTGAGATATTCCCTTGCTCTCTGGAATTCTATCCCGGAGTCCCTCCCAACTCGCTCCCTCCCTCACTTCCTTCAATTTCCATCTCTGTGACCGCGCCTTCGATCACAAATATCACAAACGTATATTTGAATACAGTCAATTCAAATATACAGTGAATTAATTGACTGTATATTTGCATTTTGCTCACAAATATACAGTCAATTCTTATTAGTTGAGGTACATATCAGCCATGATCTAATTAAACGGCAGAACAGGCTCGAAGGGCTGAATGGCCTCCTCCTGTTCCTATGTAATCCGCTTTACAGTATATTCTGTGAAGCGCTTTGAGATGACTAGAGGACGTGAAAAGCGCTATATCAAATGCAAGAATTATTATTATTATTAATATATCTTTTCCATCCCTCACATGGCTGTTCTTGGGACCCAGCCAACAGTGTCAAGACATTGAAAGGCGCTGTATAAGTGTAAATTGTGCAGTATTGTGTGAACAGCTGCTGTGGACTGACTGCGTAGAGCAGAGTTAGACGTACCTGGTTCTGGGGCATCAGGCTGCAGACTTGGGAAATCATTACTGAAGATGTAGGTACTGTCATAATCTGGGTTCACCTTTAAACAACACAAAACAAAATGGAAGCCTCAGTAATAATAATAATCCTTGCATTTGATATAGCGCTTTTCACGTCTTCTGGACGTCTCAAAGCACTTCACAGAATATAGGGTAAAGTGAATTAACTGTATATTTGTGGACGAAACGCAGCAGCCAATTGCGCACAGCAGTGTGTCCCACAAACAATCGTGGATTGAGTGACCAAATTATTATTGGGTTTTTTTGTTGGTTGAGGGATTATTATCCCTGGAAAAGTGATCCGCCAATCGGCTAACACCCGGGTTCCTACTTACTGCTAGGTAAACAGAGGCGTGTGGAGTAAGGAAACTTGCCCAAGGTTTCGCCCTGCCTGGAATTGAACTCAGGTCTCTCGCTTGCAAAGCGAATGCTCTAACCACTGAGCTACAGGACTCTGGGGTTACATCTCAGAGCACTTCCTCCCAACACAAAAGACACTTTACCAACTTTACCAATTGTAAGCATTGTTGCTTTTCTTATTACAAAACCTTGCATCGATAAAGAATTACTCAAAAATAGAGTGGTAAAGATCAAGCAGGGAAATAGGTGGCTCAAAAATACTGAGGAGGCTTCAGAGGGCAAAAGGAGATATGGTACCGGTTTTATCTGGGGGATTGTTGTCTAGGACATTGGGAGAAACTCCCTTCTCTTTTCGAATAGAGCCACGGGATCTTCAATCTCTGCCTATTCAGGTCTCAATTTAATTGTTGTTCTTCTTTCTTTCTCACCTTGCCATTCGCCCTGGTTACCCCGGGGCAGAGGGGGTTCAACGGATCGTGACGAGGGATGTACTCCTCAGCCGGCTTCTCAACCTGCCCTTTCCATGGGCGCTTCATCCTGTGCGCGGACACCAGCACCCACTCATCGCGGAGAGGGTTGTAGCGAATGTGCTGATGTTCTAGAGTCAAAAGCAAAACACAATGTAATGGTGATAAATAACAGCAAATTTGCTGCTCTTTTCCTGCACAGCCTCAGGCATAAAACTGTAAAGTGCGGTGTGTCCTCCTCCTGGGAAGGGAGTGCAACAAGAACAACAACAAAATTACATTTGTATAGCACCTTTCACGTTGTAGGACATCCCAAGGCACTGGACAGAGTTTCGAGCCCGAGGTGGGGATAGGGGAGGGTGGAGAGCAGGGGGGGGAAGCAGGAAGATTGAAAGCACGGTCGCAGAGGAGGGTCTTGCGATGGGTCTTGAAGGAGGCAAGTGAAGGGACGAGGCGGAGGGACTGTGGGATGGAGTTCTAGAAGGTGGGGGCAGAGTGGCAGAAGGCCAATAGTGGGGCGAGCGAGACGGGGGACGTGAAAGAGGCCGGAGCCCGCTGAGCGGAGGGAGCAAGCAGGATGGTAGGGGGTTAGGAGATCACAGAGGTAGGGGGGAGAACACAATCCGGACCGGGTAAACCACTTTGTGGCAGAAGTTCTCTTTACCTCGGAAGCTAGAAATAGACTCACCGCCATGACAAGAATTTTCTGTACATGGAAGACACATACCACAAACACTCACACAAAGAAACACACAAAGGCCTATAGCGTAGTCTTGGGAATCCGTTCGCATAGTGCTTAGCCGCTCGCCTTATAAGCGAGAGGACTCAGGTTCGATCCACGGGTAGGGTGAAATCTTGCAAGTTCCCTTACTCCACACACTTCTGCTTACCTGGTTGTTAGTCAATTGATAGATCACTTTCCGGGGGTAATAAATCCTTAAAAAAATTGATCACTCAATCTAGGTAGTACAATCGTAAAGGGGGTGAAGGAACAGAGAGACCTGGGGATTCAGATAAGTAAATCTTTGAAGGTGGCAGGACAGGTAGATAAAGCTGTTAAAAAAGCGTATGGGATACTAGGCTTTGTAAATAAGGGCATAGAATACAAAAGTCAGGAAGTTATGATGAACCTTTATAAAACACTGGTTAGGCCTCAGCGAGAGACTGTGGTGAGTTCTGGGCACCACACTTTAGGAAGGATGTCAAGGCATTGCATTGGAGGGGAGAACAAGTTTGCAGGGCAATGGGGAGATAGTGGGGGAGTGGAATTGATTTGGACAGCTCTTTTCAAAGAGCCGGCACAGACACGATGGGCCGAATGGCCTCCTTCTGCGCTGTATAATTCGATGATTCCATGATAAGGGTGCAAAGTGCTCTGTGACGCCGTCCGCCGTGGAGGGCGCTATATAAATCCAAGTTGTTGTTGTTGTTGTTGCAAACGAGATTTACCAGGATTGGTACCAGGAATGAGGAACTTCAGTTATCAGCAGAGGCTAGAGAAGCTAGGATTATTCTTGGAGCAGAGAAGGTTAAGAGGAGACTTAATAGAAATTTTCAAAATTATGAGGGTGAACAAAGAGAAATTATTCCCACTGGCGGGTGGGTCGGTAATGGTTGTTAAAAGAAACAGAGTGGAGGTGAAGAGAAATTTTTTTCACACAGCGAGTTGTTCAGATCTGGACTGCATTGCCTGAAAGGATGGTGGAAGCCGATTCGATAACAACTTTTAAGAGAGAAGTAGATAATTATTTGGGGAGGACAAGTTTGCAGGGCTATGGGGTGATAGTGGGGGAGTGGGATTGTTTTGGATAGTTCTTTTCAAAAAGCCGGCACAGACACGATGGGCCGATTGGCCTCCTTCTGTGCTGTATAATTCGATGATTCCATAATAATCTATGATTGTATGTTGAACACTGCTGTGCGCAATTACCTGCCACCTTACGTAACTACATGCACATTCAAACCACTTTGTAATATAGTCTGTGAAGAGCTTTGAGACGTCTCAATGACATGATAAGGCGCTGTATCAAATGCAAGGATTATTATTAAAGTCACGCACATACGACTGGATGTCACCTGCACACACACAAAATGGTACGCATAGGCATCAAAACACAGTCACACACACACCCGGAGACGCACAGACATACACACGCGCACACATGCTGGGAGCACAGCCAAGTTCAGTTAACCATTCGATCTGATAATTTGTGCCATTACAAAAGGCTACGCTCCTTGTCATCATTCCTAGTTAGAAAAACGTTCATGCAGAGTTAACGTCTCAAAGCACTTTACACAGAGTGCTGGGCACTAAGCGTGGGGGATAGTGGGGGGGAGAGTGACTATGGGCACGGTCAAAATGGTAGGTTTTCAGGAATCCTTTGAAGGCCGATAAGAGAGGGCCAAAGTTAAATAAATGTCGCATCTACCTGTGCACGTGGACATTAAAGATCCTGTGGCACTATTCAGAAGGGGAAGCGAATTGCTCCCTCGCAGTGACCTCCATCGTCTGGTCTCAAATAAAATTGGTCATTCACTGCATGGACGTCAATTCACGTTACATATATTCTGCCAACGATGTGACAACGCGCTATATCAAACAAAGGATAATTATTATTATTATTATCGGATGCAGGTGTTATTATTTTGTTTAAAAAAATACTTTAGTGATTCGTCGATAGCATCAGTGAACAAGAAATCACACCAACAGAGGGCAGCACAAATACCCTCCCCCACCCCCACACACACACACAAGACGCGATGTGAGAGTCCTTCCTGCATTGGCGAAACGAAAGAAGAAATCAGTGACCGCAAAAGTTAAGTTGCAAAAGGGAAAGATCAAAGCGATTCAGAGCCCAAACGGGTTACAATTTTGCAACATGCAAAAGGACTTGAGCGGGCGGAGAAGACTCAAGGCAGCGAAGGGATCAAAAGTAACGGAGTGGATGGGATGAGGATGTGAAGATCATCCTTGTATTTAATACTGCACCTCATTGGGACATGGAAGCATCTCAATGTGCTTCATGGATGCACTATAAAGTGTAGTGCCTGATTATGTGTAGCGAGCGCGGCTCTGTAAAGAATCAAACTGTACCTGAATGCCCCCCGGTATCCACCGCGGTCCCGAAGAGCAGCACGTATTCAGTCAAGGACGCGTGTAGGAGGCACATGGAGCCCATCCACCCCCCAGCGTTGAC